AGCAGAGCTATTTTCAGCGGCTCTCATTAGATTTTATGATTCACATAAACGAAATCATACCCGATGGGGTCATACTTAACTGTGCTTAAAGAGATAATTATTAGTGCGTATTAAAGAACATTTTAATGATAGCTATATTCATTTAATCTTGAAATATTTCACTAAATAATGAGCACTCATTAAATTACATTTTTATCTTAAATCCCATTCAATATTAACATATAAAAAACGTTTAAACCCAGTAAATTATCTGAAATAACAATTCAGTATTATTAATGAAGACTAACGTTTCACGAGGGAATAGAAAGCAAGAAGATTTTATTAAAAAAGCTTCATTATATACCACTAACAAATACTAATTAAGGGAAAACGGAATAAAAACAATAAGCGTTCTTGAAAACCATCAGGCCCGTATCCGGGACGTGCCGTGCCTCTCAACAATGCACACTAAGTAATAACGGAATCGTTGGTTATTTCTAGAATAAAAAAGTAATAATTAGAAATTGTAATGAATTATTGTTTACTTGATAGTCACTTCATCATTCAGAGTTGCATTTCAATTGTTTTAAATCGTATTAAATGTTTATTTTTTTTTATTACTAAAAGGAAATAATCATATATAGACTCGGACTTTCGAATGTAAATTAGTTTTGCGGAGATTGATGATAATTGGTCAACAACAAATATATTTCCTAATAACTTCAACCGTACGTGTATTTAACTTACATAAAAAACACAAAACGTTCATAAACTTGTAGTTAGTCAAATCATTAATCGGATATGGATTGGATTCACGTGACCTCCGGACTTCCGTCTGTCCGCCAAAACTGACAAGCTATGCACCAGATAACAATGAAACCTTCCACACCACAAAATTTCTTAGAAATAACAGCTGTTTGCGAACCATTGATGAATTGAAATGGTTCAAGTTATGATTGCCACGGTCCCGTTAGACGGGAAACGATCCATCTGCCAAAGTAAATAAATTGACAGTTTAATTTGCCAGCTCCGAACTGAGGCAGTTATATTGACTATTGTTACAGCCGCGAGCGCTGTTAGCCAAACATTTGTAATTTATTTGTGTACACATTTGACAATAACGTATTGTTTTCAAATTATTAACAATTAATATTAACAAAGCAATAAACTATTCCAGTATTCCATTTCATTTTTTGAAATAGAAGGAAAATAAAATATTGAAGCAAACTCATTAAGAAGTAATTAGTAAGAACATTGTTTTGTGATTAATTAAAATCGAAAATCATAGCATTTGGTTATTTAATTTTATGAAAATTATGTGTAGTAATTTTTCGTTAAAAATCTTACTGATATTGTGAATTCGAAAGTACGGTTTCACGAATTTTGTTGATATCGAACATTGTAAGAACAAGCTTTTTTAAAAACAAAGTTAAATGATTAATAGAATTTTATTTAATTAATAAACAAGTAAATCAATGTAAAGTAAATATCTATTTAGGTCATGATCGATTGATTGATCTGTCCCTTTTGTCGTATTTCAATATTTGTCAGACAAAGCAAACGTTTGTTCTGAAAGTAATAATACTTTCTTGTGGGATAGGAGAGCGGATGTATATTTATGTACGTCACTAGGCGGCATGGGAGCGCCAACACGGACCATTCTTACGTCAGCATCGATATAACCCTGTTTCACTTTTGGTAGCAAATGGCAGAACAAACACAATTGCAATAAAGTGCTCGGGGATCCGATGAAAGCCATACTTTGTTTATACTCGAAAAAGGTTCAACCAATCACTTTTTATTTGCATATGTTATGTATATCTACAGAAGGAAGTAGCTCCCTATTGTCACTTTTAGAAGTTAGTTATCTAACCTACTCCCTTTTCTTTTATAAGTTTCATAGTTTTGATTTTTTTATCTTATGATAAGGTTAAGTAAGAGTTTGCTGAACGTCTTAAGCTATCTTAATATCAATACCCTAGTTTACAATACTATCACATTCGCAAAACTGATGCTGAGAAAAAAAATATTTATTTGATCTCCAGGGCGCTGTAAAGATGTTTTGATATAATTCAATGAATAAAGACACGAACGAGATTTCAAAGATCGTGAAAGTAATGTGCCATTACTTTGTGCTCCCTTTATCTGTGGGCTCAAATAGATGCTATTTATTTCAAAGAATACGGCACTCAAACATATAAAGGATGAGATATTTTATTGCTCCGATTCTTTATCACACAATAAGCAGTTACCTCATACTTAAAAACTAAACAATGTTTAGGAAACTTGCTTTTTTATAATTGTGAATGTAACCTAGTGAATAAACCTTATAGATATTCCCACGACGAAGTTAACTTTAGATGTTGAATATGTAGGCAAGTATTTTTTTTTTCATTCAAGTAAAATATTTTGGAGGCCAAGTGACCTAGTAATTACCGTGACCTGGATTCTGAGCAACGGTCCCATGTTTTTCTTTACACATCATTAAACTACGAGACGAACGTGAAATTCACGTTGTTACTAAGATACTGATATATATCTACTTAGGATATTAATTTAAAAAAAAAAACAGTTGTTGTAAAATAATGGTAATTTTTTATTATGCTACTTTCAAACTTAAATTCACTTAATGTTTATAACTCAAAAACGAAATTAGGCAATAACTTAATGTGACTTTAAGGACTAACTTAATCATATCAGCTGTACGTATGTCTTCAAATTGAATGTTGTTTTATTGTGTTCAGTTTTCATTTTGTTTTTTTTTTTCAAATTGCACTGTACAAGTGGAATAGAGTCATTGAAAGACTTATCTTTTCCGTGTTTTATAACAATCCAGTCAGCTATTAAATGTAAAATTTGCATGATTTTCTTTTTGTCTATGGTATTAGAAAAAATAGGCAGGAGTATCGGAGGCTTGTGAAGCTAGTCACTGATACGTGATAACCACGACTCTATAAAGACTCTAACAACGAAGAAGAATTAGAAAAAATAGTACATTGAACCTAAACTGGACCGTTTTAATTTTCAGAACATTGTTGCATATATTATAGTGAAAGTTAGTAAGGTGACAGATCAAGCTAGCAGAAGTGCACAGTATGACGGGCTGGCTGTGAGCCAGATCAGTCAGTAATAAGCCGCTGTTAGCTTTGAAGCTCTGTTATAATGGATTAAACGTTTGTCATAGATAACTTCACGTGCAGTTCAACTTCATATTTCCACGAAGTGACTTCTAGTTACATAATTTAATAGGTTTAAGACAAATTTTACTATTATATAATACGAGCTGTTGCCCGCGACTTCGTCCGCGTGGTATTAGAAAACACACTAACTATATAAATTACAAAAAGCTACGTATCCCTCGAGAACCGGACATTTCTCTGGGATGAAGCTTTTCTCATGTGTACGCCAGACTTTGTTTTATATCTGTGCCAAATTTCAATAACATGTGTTGAACCGTTGCAGAATGATCGAGAGAACATTAAAAAAATAAATTGATGAATCCCACGGGAACCGTAACTATTCCCGGGATAAAAAGTAGCCTATGTGTTCTTCCAGACTATACTCTAAACCTGTGCCAAATTTCATGGAGATCTCTTCAGCCGTTTAGGCTACAAACGCTAACAAACATCCATCCATCCATCTAAACTTTTGCATTTATAATATTAGTAAGATGTAACACTAGAGTTGTGGTTTGAATGTGAGCTTTTTGTATGTTAGACAAGCTAGTTTAATATCTTGAAAAAGAAAAACATTGTAAGACTATTAAATAAAATCTGTAATCTATGGTTTTCGAAACAATTATATGAATAGAGTAATTATATTAAAACACTTTTTAACCTCATATGTGCAGGTATGTTAAAGTTATATGTGAAGTTTATTAAATATTTTTTACCGAGTTAACAAAATGAAATATTTCAATATTTTACGTGGTTTTTACCAGTAGTTGTGCGGTTGAATAAAACCTAATCTTGCGGTTAACAAAATGTATATGTAACTACAATGTTTTCTGTGTCACTGCCCTGAGCCGATGAAGTTAGGCAAGTCACGCGGGGCAATTTGGTAAAGCGCCTACCATGCATAAAAGGAAATAGGTGCGTGTAGAGCGATCGATTCCAGATTACGACTCTACCTTTACGAGTTAACACGCCAAGCCGTCAGACTTAATAGTGGAAGGTGGTGATTTTCACAAATTCGACAGGCCTTAATTATTTTCGATTGTGATAAAATATTATGACAGTTATGTAGAGTTTAATTATGAAGGTATTAACGAGCCCGAAGTCAGAGGGAGAATAAATAATGTAACAACAATTTTTTTTTTAAATTTCTTACTTAGATTCCATTATCATTTTAAATTTTAAACCTATTCTAAGTTAAAAGTAAAACGTGTTATACAGTTATCGCGACAAGTAAAAGGCTTTGTGAATTGTAAAATAAATTATTTTATATCTTTTCGTTGCGATTATGTATTCATACATTGGGGTGTGGACCGCCTTTTCCGACCCTGTTTTCCCCAACAAATGGATTCTGTTTTTCTCCTCTACGTAAACAAAAACTTTCTGTGCTCACTAATATGAATCTATAATATATATTTTTTCTTTTTTCATTTTTCTTCGCCCAAGGGTGTTATCTGTGCTTTGTATTTACCCTTTTGTAAATCGGATATGTTTTTTTACTCAATTTTATATTTATACAAGCGACTGTTTTCATAAAATATCTCTTAATATCTTCTGGCAACAAAAAAAAAGTAAAAATGAGTCTTGATCAAATTGTATTGTGCCAGTTGTTGCCCTCATCTTCGTCCTCGCGAAAATAAAAAATGTAATAAATATAGCCTTAGTGATAACGTAGATATTTATTGGTTAACGCATTTTGAAATCGGTCTAGTAGTTTTTGAGTTATTTCAATACATGCAAATACTAATCTCTCCTCTTTATATTAAGTTTATATTATTAATGGATGAATGAAACGTGTTTATATTTTTTTTCAAAACTTTATTATTTCTTTATAATGTTCATTATACATGTAATTTGCTGTGCTTATCGCACAATCATGATACATACAACAAATTTAAATACTATTGTTACTTGTATACAATAATAAACTTCTGATATAATAACTGGTTATAATCAAGTTTTCTATTCGATAGCCTATTTCAAGAAAACCATTTGATTGAAATAGTTCGTACGACATAGATTATGTTACATCAAGATTAATGTTATACTGAAAATTCTATTGGACAACATGTAGATGACTATTTACAAAAACGTCTAAAATCTAAATTTAAAAATAAATATTCAGATTTTTTTGACAGTATCTGTCCTTAAAAGCACTTTGAATATAGTTTTACACAATTTAAGGTAATTTAAGACAAGGGACGGGGAACGCGACTAGATTTTTTAAATTATGTTCTTTCCACATTAGCCAAACAATTGTTGAATAAATCTATTAAATGGGCGAAGTAAAAAAAAAACACTTAGTAACTAACACTGGGAAGTTGACGCTGGAAGGGGAAAAGGGTATTTATTTAAAAAGTACGAAATATAAATTATAGTATCTTAAAATCTGCATTCTAGTTTTTATTTCTTATATCTACTTTGCTTACTAATTGTATAATTTTAGTTATATGAAAGATGGACCACACAGGATGAATAAAACAAAACATGATCGTACCACAAAATAAATAATAATTCACATCCAAACTGATTGAAATGCTTAAAAGTATTGAAATTGTTTTGTTTAAAAAGTAGACTAAATCACAATAGTAAATATTATACTAGAAAACAATTAAATCAATAAAGACATACCTGTGCAGTATCTTTCAACGATATTTACAAAAACAATAAAGATTATCCACGTAATATTTTCTTCTGCAAATTACTTACAATTTTACATTCCTTAGAATAGAATAAAGCTAGATATAGTGATTCGTATATCTTTGCTCTTCATTACATGTTTATGTACAATCAATGTATTTACTAAACATTTGTGTTAATATAGTATTGTCAGCTGTTCATTCCTGTCTTTAACAATGTCTCTTATCGGATATTTTAAATATCCCACCATTTATTTAATTTGCAATAATTAGGTATTTCAAATTCAATCGAACATAATCTTCTCTTTGTTACCATAATTTTGTTATGATTTCTTCATTTCAATAATTTTAAATTTCTTCAATTAAAGATTCACTATGATAATGCTTTCAACATCAATGTAATGAAATAAATGCGAGATCAGAATATCTTAACTAACAATATTTACAATTCTATATGAGTCAAGCATCCGATCTATTTGCTTAGGGTTTATATTTTTAATTTTACATAACACAACCCAACCCTATAATTTAGCGAATAATTTTTCATCTGATGGAAATGACATTTGTGATCAAAGGTGCCTGTTAACCAGTCTAATAATTTGGTCACAAATATAATTATGAACAGAGAAATATATTGAAAGTCTATTTACATTTCCAATGTCACTGGTATTTGTCAGGAAAGAGATATCAAAAGACTCACTGCAAGCACAAAGCAGTGAGCGGGCGAGGTGGGCGCGAACGCTTGTCCTCCTCGCTGCATGGCCGCCGGGTACTCGCCTGACAAAGGAAAAATGGAATTTGCTTCTTTGGCAAAAATTAAATCTGTTCTCAAATAAACCAATAACATGCAATGGTATAAGGAACATAGAAATCTGATGAACAAATTATATTCAAACTAGCTTCGATTGTTATGAGTATACAAAAATGAGATTCTTGCAATTAATCTCAAAGTCCGTAAAAATACTAAATAAGCATTTATATTCAAGAGTATTAAATCCGTTGTTGAATTAAGCCTATCTTTAAAAGTGTTGTCTGAAAGCAATAACAGCATTCGTAATTATAATTTGTACTTCGTCGGCTATGAGTTAATCAAAACGTAATATCGTTTTAAGGTCGATCGTTTCATTAACTTAAATTATTGTTATCGTTGTTTTAATGGCATTTATATGAAATTTGAATTAAATAATTGACTTCAAAAGATATTTGACAAGCATTGTGAGTAAATTTAGGGCTATTATATTAAAAGTACTCACCATTTAAAACGTGAACCATAACACTTTTGGATTGTGCGTTGCTTGGATTACATTGGTAAGTGCCTGAATCCGACGGCCTCGCTTGTTGAATCAGTAAGAAAGACGTGGTTGTTTCCCCCTTCTCCGTTACAACCGACACGCCGCCTCGAGGGGAATCGTAGCTAATAATCTGTTGGAAAATATAACGGTATAAAATAACAAGAAAAAGAATGTATAATAGCTTTATGGTTTCGAGCAGCGTCAAGGGAATTGAGTAGTGGGTTCTGATTCACTACTTTAATGGATTATTATAATTTATTACTTTGTATAGAATTCGTTTTTTCTTTTTAAATTTATTGTCATATGTAGTACTATTTCGCAATACTTCTCTGCCACATCGTTATTTAGAGGTTTTGATTCTTATATGGTCTATACCTACACTGAATGTCACATCGCTTAAAGAGCTTTGAATTATGTCTTTAGTTGAATTAATATGTTTTTCACTTTACCAAAAGTAAAAGTAATTAGTTAAAGAGTTTTACCGCATCATTATGATTCCAGAAAATGTATGCCGGAGGTTCCGGCGAGTAAAGAACCACGCATGTTAGATTTATGGTGCTCCCCCGATCTATGTAAAGGTCTGGACCACCAATTATCTCCGTCGTTGGCTCTGAAAAAAATATTGCGTAGTCACTTTGTTGTAATAATTCAACGGAGCTAATTATTCCGAGGCTGTAAAATGTTTTTCCTTTATACGGCTTAACGTTTTAGCCGCTTACTTTGTAATTAAATAAAAGTACGTAAACATCTTCCTTAATTAAATGCGTAGCGAATTAATTATAAGCAAGACGTTATTTGTTATCAAGCCCGAAAGCAACGCCCTACCGAGCTTTAACTGCCGGATAATAAACACCCCGCTATAAACATTCTTAATTAAACCAAATTGTAAGATACAATCTAAAAAAACTTATGTAACATACACAGCTAAAAATAAAATATCTCCTATATTTCATGAAATACAAATTTTTTAATTAACGGTACAGTTCTTTCCTTGTGTCTTGTGTACTATTTGCGTTTGTTGTCATGTTGATTTAGATAAGTGCTATTTTATTCACCTAGCAATGACGATAGACCAGGTATTATGTAATCTATACTATTATAATAAAGCGTAAACACACACTTCTTTGTTGCCTAAGATCTCAGCAATTATAGCATATTTTTGAATAATTCCTTTTTTAATAAAAAGCCCTACACTTACATCACGCTTTAGGCTATATATTTTAACGACATTAAACTTGGAGGGTAAATATTTTGAATAAAACCTTAATGTGGGAAAGATACCATAAGTTGCTGCCAACATCAAGGAAACAAGATTACCATAGAAAGATAATTGGTATTTTGACATTTGTAATTGAGAATTTGACAAATGCAAACAATAAATTTATAATTTCATGCGGATGACGCCGCACGCGAACAGCTAGTCAGGGATAAAAGTATAAATTTAGACGCACATTTAGTAAGAGTATCTTTGTATTGCTTGAAGGAGAATTATTAAAAGCTTCATTACGAGAATTTCAAAAGGCAAGTCAGAATATACCTTAAATGCTTATTATAGTGTATTGCGGGGGCGTGCTCTTTGCCCGGTCAAATCGACCCATTTGCCCTGCAGCTACTTCTATTATGTAGCATAACTCTACGTGAATAATGAAATAGTTTTTGTTAAATTACTGTTAAGGCTTCAAGTAAAAAAGGACCGGTAATCAATACAAGATTAGTTATTTAGTCGATTAATCTATTGTATTATCGTTATAATTATGTGTTAGTCATATCTGGTTTGTGTACTATTAATTACTTAAAGACATCTGATAGTTCTCGATTATAAAAAAAAAAACATTTAGTACAAATTAGATACTTTTCCTGAAAATTTTGTTTCTGATAAATGAACAATCATATTCTTTATAGTATTTAACATTTTAATCAAATGTACGTAGAGCTAGCTATGTTATCGGCAAACTAATTTTGTTTCAACTCGCACAGATTCGCGTGCACGACGTAATAACATCAAACTAATTAAGTAGTTAAACGCAATGGCTGGAAGACAATATTTGCGGCACAGTTTAGAATTCCGAGATATTACATGTGCAAAGTTTTAACATAAATTTATAGATGTACCAACTGACTGTGTTAAAAATTAGAGTTGACATATATAGCACCAAATGTACCAATGTGATTTTCGATTTTTTGAAATTTCATATGTACATAGTTTAACCGACTTTCTTACGGTGAAGTAAAACATCGTGATGCAACCTGCACATATCGGCGAAAAAATTCAAAGATATGTGTGAAGTCAACCAACCCGCACTTGGCCAGAGTGGTTGACTATGGCCTAGTCACCCCTTATTAGGGTAGGCTCCGAGCCCCTCGGTGGGGACATGTAGTGAGCTGATGATGAATGAATGATGAATGATTATATAGCAGTCAATTGTTTTCTAGTCATCTTTTCTTGGTGTTAACTAAATGTAACCTGTAACTGATAATGGTACTCTCATTCTTCTACTAACCAAATACTAATATGAACGTTTTAGATCGTAATTCACTTCAATGAAACTTAAGGCAGAAGTTTTAGTTTATATGGATTGTTCAGAAAGTCTAACATTTGCGCTACGGACTTTTAATACGACGATCAGAACTTCTAAATCCCGGTCGAACTAATCCCGTTTCACCAACTTCAACTATTGAATTTTTATTTTAAGAAATCATGTAAACCGTTAAATTTTTCCTTCATAATTTCAAGTGTACTACAAATCGCTTACAAGTAATAATAAATTTGAATCTTTTGAATAACATCAAGTAACTTCGGATGATTTATAACATTTTCTTCAGGCGTGGTACTCAGGTATTTCAACAAAACAATTCACAAAATCCTCAATACTAGTACTAAATAATTATAGATCGTTACGATATGTTTTGATTAAGATATTGAATTGACGTCAACCGAGCACATGGCCACGTGCGCTCTCCATCGCGACTCAAATCGAACTGACACACTGACAGTTTCACAAGATGGCCGCCCTACCAGTGCTCGGTGTTCGTCATAGACAAAGAGTAAACTGACAAATTATAAAAAGTGTACTACTTACCAACAACATTTAAATGTATGAAATGACTCATGTGCGGAGTTGTTGAAATCTGGCACTCATAAATACCAGAATCCCTGTGCTGAGGGTACTTTATCTGAAACAATTATTTACAATTACATTACTATGCTAAATACGAACTCGCTCGACTGCTTTACAAAGTTTAATTTACCAGTCTGCTGAACAATTTTCAACAACTGGTTTGTAGTAATATGTCTTCATTTTTTAATTATCAAAGCAATTCTATATTACTCGACATATCATACAATATTACGCTACTTTTAAAACATAGAAATGAATTTAAACTGTATTCAAAAATATATTGATTCTCAAAAACATTTAACGAATCCTACCAGCTCTAACCTAAATCGGCCTCCAGTCGATTTTGCAAACAACGCCATCTATTGTATGAAATCTCCTCACTCACCTGTAAAGTCCAATCTTCGGAATGTGGGAGATGGATTGCTCGAAATCTCTGATCACTAGTGTAAGTGTATCTGCCGACAGTCAACAAATGGATGTCCCTGTGTCGAACCCACGATACTTGCATGTTCAGCTAGAACAAATGTAAACTTTTTAATATAAAAGCAAAATACTGAAAATAACAGTAGTCATTATTTAAAAGAGTGAAGAAAAAGTGATAAGACGTGAAAAGTAATTTTCAATACATTTTTCAAAACAAACAAATAACAATATTTCATACAGTAACATTATTATTTAAGCTCGTATCTTAAATACGCGACACTTAATTTGAGACGCTAAGTTAAACTCGTAAATCGCTTGAGAGCAATTCCTAACAATTTTCAAGACGCCATTAGCGTCGTGCTTTGTAGCTGTAATTAGAACCTCTAACAGTTGATGTGGTTAAGTAAATGCACATTATACGGACTATTTTATATGACAGGAGACACGTTACTGAAGAGCATGTTTGTTACATCTTACTGAGAAACCCAACAAAAAGCCTTTTTTATCAGATTTGTTATATTTAATTCTTGACTTTTATTAAAAGTGTTGACATAATATAACAATCAGATACAATACAATAATCTAGATTATTCTATTGGAATAAAACGACTTGCTTGTTACTTCTGTATAAATGTGTAAGTACATTGGCAGTATAAGGGGGTGTGCGACTTCAGTAGCTCGTTATGTTTCCTTATTTATGTGTAAGATGTGGCATCGCCTAATGAGAGTTTTATTTATAAAGTCTGACTTACAATGGCCAGTCTTTAAAGTTGCATTGTGCTATTGTTATATTTCATTTTAAAACGTACATTACGCGGTATACCGCTATGTAAATTGGACGTTGGCTTCAGAATAAAAGGAAACTCGTTACTGGGAGCGTGTGCGCTTAAATTAAATCTTACTTATTTTCATCATTGTCTGCAGTAATGCTTGCCACAATACTAACATTAAACTTTAGAAGCTTATAAAATCCTTTTGCATTATACTCCGCTTTTATTAAATGTAAGTATACATACGGTTTATTAAATTAAAACTAAATAAATCTTTTCACTTTGCGTTTCTAAACCATTGAACAGATTATTAAAAAAAATTATAAATCTATAAAATATTTTGACTACAGAAATATTATAACTATCGGTTTTTATTTTGGTTTTCTTATCTATCTTTGATGTTTATTATGATTATTTCCTACTTACCGTTTTGTTTCCTAGATTTTTAACTCGACAGTTTAGGTAAGCTGTCTTTCCGAGTAGTGCGGTAACGTTTTTCGACATCACCAAGTCGAAGTATGGTCCGGTGCGGGGCGTAGGCCGAGGCCCGTCGCCGGCGGGTCCGGCTCGGATGGCATTGTCGGATCCGGGCGGGGACGTCGCCGACGCGTTGCCGGGAACGCCCTTCCCTAGTTCGCGCTGCGCCGACGATACTGCGTCAAATTAAATGATTTGTATAAAATGCGGTGTGCGCAAAATGGATTTATTGTATTTGATACTTGGGACCTTGACATGTATTATACATGTTTATACTATGTTATATCAAGACAATGGCATAATACGGCCATTGCCACTTTTTGTCAATATTTTTAATGATTTAGTAACTAATATTTATTATTGTGTAATGAAATACCACTTGCATTAAAAAATTATTCAAAATATCATTTATCTCATTACATACCCATTTCTGAAACCAAATAAGCCCATTGCTCCAAAGAGCCTCGAATATTCCTCATTTATTCAGGGAACATTATTAAGACCTTTCAAGGCGTATATACGACATTAAGTGGCTCTTGTCACTGTCGAATGACATGTCATTTCGGCATCCGACGGCTACGCGGCTTTTATATCGTACGAAGTACAACTCATTCCTTTTCATCTCGAAATTATGGCAATTTGACAGTAATTACCATTATCGATTATTGCTTTTCTTCGCAAAATACTCGCATACATACTTAAAGAATTTTTATGTTGTAATTTATATTACAATTGCTTCTAAAAGTGATTTTTCGGTAAAAATTCTGGTTGCGAAATATTTGTTTTGTAACTCTTACTTTCAAAAGCATAAAATTATACCTAAAGATCTGTACTGAAACGTGTATAAATTAATTTTCTTTGTTATCATATTCCCTTTACACGACAAACGAAATAAACTTTGTATTTATCTAAAATTTTAGCCGGCATCAGTCCATTAGACAGGCCGTTGTGATCCGCGCTGCCTGAGGCCGACAACTGTGACATAGCCAACTCGACGTTGCGACGAAATTCATTTAAATTAAAAAGCTTACAAAGTATCAAGTAGAACAAAGCCAGGTAATTTCGCTTAAACAATTCTTTCTTAGTGATTTACATATTACGTAAACTTTGTTTCAGTTGGTAGTTTTAATTGATAGGATAGTTTTAGCGTGGGGTTTCATTGCCAGAGCGCGTGTATATCAAAATATCGATGTTTCATACATATGTTTAATTAAAGGTAGGAATTTGCGTCATGGTTGGATGTAAAGCCCAATTCAATAGAAATGCGAAATTACATTTCACATTTTATTAGCTGATTCTGATTAAATTGATGATACAAACATATTCGTTTCCAGGAAATCTGTTGCAGTATTCCAAAGTTTAAATTTCTTTGATATGTCAGTTATTATTTTCAATTTCCACTAAATTCAACTATAAAAAGTTACAACACTTGTATTTATTATTTCAGAAACAAAAACAAGAAAAACATCATCATCATCAACTCACCATACGTCCCCACTGAGAGGCTCGGAGCCTAAGTTAGGGGTGACTAGGCCACAGTCAACCAAGTTGGCCAAGTGCGGGTTGACTCACACATATCTTTGAATTTCTTCGCCGATACATGCAGGTTGCATCACGATGTTTTCACCGTAAGAACGTCGGGTAAATTATGTACATATGACAGTTCGAAAAAAAAAATCGAAAATCACATTGGTACAAGAGAAAAACATCGATGTGACCCAATTATAAGTCGGTTATTGCAATGTAAAATAAGTACAATCGTCTAAAGGAATCATAATATTTATGCAATAGTTGGTATATTCGAAGACAATAAATGGTAGGGAGCGTGTGGGGTGCTGTTATTAGCAGTATCGAATAACATAAAATAACAGTACAAGAGGGTTGCAACAATACAAGGGCGCGATGAAGAATAAATCACAAAGAAAAGGTTAATTTTGAAATCACTGCTTTCTTTATCTCAATATCTATTTTTTATACAATGTTTGTACACTGATAAGACGGAACTGATTGTCTGACAATTGAAATATAACTAGACCAAATTTACTTTCTTTTTATGTAAGAACCATATCAAATATTTTAACCACACTTTGTAACTAATAACTACTGTTAAAATTTTCAATAAAATTCTTTTGCATTAACTCACATTCCACACTATAAAAGCGTTTTAAATTAAATATGATTTTCAATAAATTCAGACTATACTTTTATGTTATCTGAAATTGTATGGTTTCCACATTACAGTAAAACATTTTAGTACACCGATGATTTATAGAAATGGCGTACAAAATAAAAGCTCAGGACGATTCGTTGTAATAAAACTGACCATTACTAAAGTAAACAATATTAGTGAAGGAGTCATACTCATAAATCTCAACTGAAATGTCGTGGCAGCGAAAGCCGCCGAGCAGAGGTCGGAGATTATTTACATCGTATACGCTAACATAACAAGATATTAAACTATAAATATAATTTTTATTAATTACAATATGATATTTTATTCCACTGCGCCGTTAAAAAAATATTATGAGGATTTTTGGTAATAAAATCTTCTCTTCTAAACTGTTAAAATACATTCCCATCAGACCTAATATTGTAGAAATAAAGAAATCTGCTTATGTAATAATGCAGTTTAATTACGGTCAAGAAGAACATCGAGTATCCCTGTTGATAAGTAAAGATTTTGTATTAAAAATCTACACTAAGGAGATGTTTAATTGGACATCAAACTATGAACGCGTGAGAGACTTACAAAATGTAAATTCATAGAGAACAGTAACAAGCACATCGTGTAACGCAGCCACGTTGCTTATTTGGATAAGCGCTAATCCAACTTCTTAAAGTTAATATAACTTTCCTTGTTTCGTATTCGCATGAACATATTTTATAATGCCATGAATATTAACTTCAGTGTGTACGTTGAATAATAAATTTGTGTAATGAATTTTTAAAAGGCATCTTACGTAATGTATCGATATCGATTTTAATACAGATTACAGACTTTATCGTAATCTTACCTTACTACGTAAGCTTCAATCAAATCGATTGTCATTGTTACAAGTAACATGGTCAGCTATTTGTGGAAAAAGAATGGGCACTATAAGCGATATATTATATTTTTAGTTTGCTGATGCGATCTTCAGATTAGTAAAATTTGAAGAATATTTATTAAAAATATTTAATATGATCCAACTGTGGTTATTATGATTACTTGGTAGTGAGATTATTCCCAACCGTCATCCTGCTCTGTCCCCACGTGAGGACAGATTAGAATAAAAAGTATCATCCATCCCACCTTTTGCGATGAGGGGACGGTTGGAACTTATTTTATTTCACAACGGTTCCATCCTTCACTTTATTGGTAATAATAGGACTAAAAGGTGTGATGGATGAAACTTTTTATTCTCAGGTTGGGACAGAGCGGGGTGACGGTTGGGAATTATCATGATAGTGAAACTAATAAAGTAGGCAAATGTACTACAACTAGTACAGGAAAGTTAAATAATGATTTAATTAGAGGACATGAATGTAATCAAATCTATTGTAACGTGATTAAAAGTTCCGTTTACTGAACATAAGCCGTAGCGAGTACTCCACTAAATATCTGCGGTTAAGTGAAAGTTCCGCAGTTGTATTACTGCAGGAACAATCGTCCGCAGTTTGACTAATCACTGCGCAATTTATAATTAATGTTATTAAATAACATTTCATATCCAGTGAAACAAAACGTATAATACTGCGTGCATTGTCTATAGCTCAGATCCAGTAAAGTAAATGAGTTCGCTGCTTGCTACAGACTAACTTGATATTGATAATTAATATATGAATTTGACTATCAAGAGTTTTATAAATCGATCTTACCTTCAAGAGAAACCTGTTCCAATTGACATTATAAGTAGTAGACAAAATGTTAATCGTACTAATACTAATGTTATAGATGCAAAAGTTTAGATGGATGGATGTTTGTTAGAGTTTGTAGCCTAAACGACTGAACGGATTTCGATGAAATTTGGTATAGGTGTAGAGGATAGTCTTAAAGAACATATAGGCTACTCACTTTTGATTTTTTTTAATTACACGCGGGCGTAGTCGCGAAAGATAGTTATATTCCAAATCGAATTATTATTTTCTCTGCTCACTCCAAGAAGACGATTCAATACTGGCCATTTTATTTACATTTAACATACACGTTTCTTATTGTTACTTCTGTAATATATGTATACAATTTCGTTACAAAGTTAATTGGGTTAGCGTACGTAAGGAATCGTCGGCGACCTACTTGCGATCGTGTAGCTAATAAGAAACTCGCCTCGTGTTATTATGTCGGTCTACATAGTTCTTTCGCGGCTGAATGTCGTTATACCGAATATAGCGTACTTCTTAGAATTCAGTGTTTTATTTTATAAATACAATTTAGTAATGAGATTTTCTTTTACAAACCTGCAGTTGAAGTTATTTTATTCTAGTATGGTTAGATATAAAATAATTAAGCTATTGAAAATGCAACATATAATAAGAATTGATATCGGAATGGATAAGTTATGTAAGTGGTAATAAAATGAAATAATGAAAATTCACGCGAGACTCTTTTTCTTCGTTGGTATTGCCTCTATGGTAACCAAACTTTGAGGGATATTAAAATAATAAGCGAGAAGTTTAATATTATATGAAAAATATTAATAGGTGCGAATTAAGACATTTAACTAATTGGTATTGTTTTTGCATAGAAAACATAGACTAAAACCGAGAAAAAAAAACCATAAACGTTACCATAACCAAGAATGCAGTATACAATTGAGATAGGTAGTCAATTTTTAATTTTATTACTTTATCGAATCGTCGGAACTTAGTATAATAGATATTGAAACTTTTTTTTTATTCATTTAAGTATACTTTCTAATACTATATTTTATGGTCACTGCATTATACTCGTAATATTCAACTTAGTGTTCGGATAATCGCTCAATTGCGTGTGTAGCAAAGAATTCTTATTTTCTGCGGCCTTTACCATAATTATGTTTATCGAGTTCAGACTTAGTTTGATTTTTAGTTACACCTTAGGTTTATTATAACCTAGAAATAAATAGGAATAGTAACTTTAAGGTTCAGATTAACAAAAAAATAGAATAGCCATTATTTCAGTTCTGCATCAAAGTTACAAAAAAAATAAAGAAAAAGTTTACAAGCTACAATTTTAAATTTAAAGTGGAAAATTAAAAGTGAAATAAAATTAAGAATAAATTATAATTCACTATTCTAACATTCGTTTTTTGCTCAATTTCTGCAGATCTGTTTGCCATTCGGCAAATGCCCCCTCCAACCTTTTCCACTCATGCCTTTCTCGCGCTACTCTGGCCCATGTTACTCCTGCCACACGCTTAATGTCGACATCCCATCTTATTAGCGGTCTACCACTTTTTATTTTTCCGGCTCTGGGATACCACTGAGTCAGAGTTTTACTTCATTTGTCTGGTCATCTTACTGTGTGTCCTGCCCATCGCCATTTAGGCATCCTAGTTTTATGTGCTGTCTGTGATCTTTGTTTTGATTCTGATGGTGCGGTTCTTTATTCTATCTGACTTTTTTATGAGCAACATACATTCCATTGCATAAGGTTCAGATTAGTATAACAAAAACATATTACATGACGTATTTTGACATGAATTTTACATATGTTTTTTTTTAAATATTAAATAAAAACTTTAGTAATTAAAAACCTCATTAAGGAAAACTTATTGCGAAGTTATGAATTCACAGCAATTGCATTCGTAAACGTCCAATAAATACTAAACACGAACTCCAATCACAAATTTCGTTCCACTTTGCTGTACTTTAGCGAAGTAATTAATATCTAAATCAGAATTAAAACTTAAAACACAACTATTTTAATTACTTAGCTAGTTAAATTTTGTTATTGCAGTGAGTTACTACTAGTTATATAGTTTGCAATCTATACTAATATTATAAAGAGGAAAAATTTATATTTGTGTGAATAATTCAAAAACGACTGGGCCGATTTCATAAATTCATTCACCATTAAAAAGCTACGTTATCAGTGAGTAACATAGGCTATAGTTTCATTTCAACGCGGACAAAGTCTGGAGCAACAGCTAGTATAAGCATATTTTAAAGGTTTACTGAAAGTAGTTACTAAGATTCTCAAAACCTAGCCATACAGTTTTGTAATAATTCAAAGTTGCATTCATTAAGGCGAGATAGAGATGGTACTTTTTAATGTAGCAGATTTTCTTTCGTTTTTCATATATTTCATTTGTTAATTTAAACTCGAAGAGACAAAACCCTTATAAAATCTATAACAATTTGAATTTTCCAACATAAAACTATATTTGACTTCGTTAAATAAGTTACTAAACTCCAAAACTTTGTGGTAGGAACCCGAAAATTTGTTCTCGTCCTGAAATAATTGCGTTTGCAAACAATTTACGAGCCCGTTTAGTTTTCTGTGAATAAAAAAACTTCGGGAAGTTGTAATTCTAAAACATAAATGGTAAACTTTGCCTCCGACCTTTAGTATAAGCTGAAATCATTAAGTATCTTTATTAATATGAATCATGTTTTACAACAAAAAAAAATAATTTGTATCTTATTTTAGATCAAATCGAATATATGTCATTGATAAAAAAATCAAACAAAAAAATGGGACCCACCTGCAAGCATTACCTTTCGGATAAAAAAAGAATTATCAAAATCGGTCCACTAGCGGCGGAGTTATGCCGTAACACACATAAAAAAAAAACATACAGACGAATTGAGTACCTCCGTCTTTTGGGAAGTCGGTCAAAAAACCGAAATATTTAACTTCTGATATGCTGCAATAAACTTCACTGTATATTATTTTCGTCCCAGCACACAGATACAGAATTTTTGCTTTGATCGAAACGCCTACATGTATTTTTGTCATAAAATAAATAACTTTATCGTTCGTAAACTGAGTTATCCTTTTGTTTCAAACACGGAAACGCTGACTGGAAACGCGATTGTAAATCTTTTGTTAGTTCTGATCTTTCCTGCACTTTAATAAAAGTTAAAACTTTTATTACGAAAGCAAATTTTTAATGCACCACAACTAGCAACACGCAGTACTATCAAATGTTGACATTTAATCTAAACAATCATGATTTATATCATATTTTGTGAAAAAGTAGTAGGCTAGAAAACGAATATTTTGTTAAATTAAAGGTTTTTTTTTACTAGCTGTTTCCGTGCGGCTTCACCCACATGAAATTATGAAAATTTTATTTTATTGTTTACATTTGTCATAATTATCAACAGTAAATGTCAAAATGACATGACATGACAATCTTGCTTCCTTGATGTAGGCGGCAACTTATGGTCTCTTTCCCACATTAGGGATTTTATCCAAAATATTTATCGCCTAAGTTTAATGGCGTAAAATATATAGTAAGTGTAGGGCTTTTTATTTGAAAAAAAATTTTTTCAAAAATATGCTGTAATTGCTGACATCTTTGGCAACAAAGAAGTGTGTGTGTGTGTGTTTCCGCTTTATTATAATAGTATAAATTTAGCTAGGTAGAATAGGTAGATTATTTACTTCGAGGTAATACCGTTTGTTTGCATGCAGTTATGAAGAAAAAATCACTTATACGCTAACAGCCTTAAAATAAACGCGGCATAAAGTTAAACTGAGGAATAAACTTTATTTGTAAGGCTGTTAGTTGTTTTCACGAAGAGCGTTATGTAAGTTTATCCTTTTGGTCTTGTAATTATTTTATAAAACATAAAACCTTTTCCTAATTTTAAAAGTTTAAAATGTTATTTCGACTTTCATTTCTTCATAATCAACGAATTCGTTACATTTACGAAAATCATTTTAAGCAGCTCTTTTGTTTCACACTTTTGAAGTGACGTTTTTTCGTTTTCATTTTTCTTTTATCGTAACAGTAATTTTCAGGTCGGGGCCGCATTGATTTCATGAACGTAACATTTGACCTGTTGAATTTATTGCAGGTCGGAGCTTAATTAAAAGTTGATTTGCAAATACTTTTTTTGAGGAAGCGCTAGTTCTGATTTCCTGGTAGTCTAAACTGTAAACGCTAATCAATAGTAAGCCTTTTTTAAATTTCAAAGCGGTACTCTGCACATGTTTACACTCGCTTTGTACTTTTATTCCTGTCTATTTCAAAGTTAATTAAAAATTCTTATCCATAAGGATATAAATTTATAACATCATTTAAGGCAACATGCATATTTAAATTTAACTAACATTTTAACAATAATATTATGTAAAGACTACTCAAGTGAAATACCTATCTGTAATTCTTTAATTGTATATTCTTTGGCCAAACATTGGTCCAACACTGCCAATCATCAAACACATGTGCCAATCACACACACAAATATATGTATTATAAAAGATAACTTACCGTGTTCAGGGCGCGTCACACATATGATAAGTGCCAATAAGACGCCCAACACATCGCCGTACAGTCCGCCGGCCATGTTTCTCGTGCTCCTCAACCGACGCTGGCTTTCACGAACATTGCCATTTTCTATATCCAATTAATTTCCTAAAACCCAAGTTAACGCGATATTCTTGATACTTTGGATTTCGATCGTTTGAACAGCATTATGTATGCTGTAGATTTGATCTTTCCGTCTAATTATGTTCCGATTTACCTGAAACAAAAAAAATATTGATATCGTTTTTCTAAATTAAATACGAGAAAATTAACCTCTACGATAACCAAATAAGTGATTTGTGTGCAAGATACATAGAAATGTAAAGGCCTATTGTAATAAGGGGATAACATAAAAGGTGACATTTTTATACTACAAAGTGGCAAACGAGCAAGTGGACACTTGAATCCACCGAAATGGCGAAGCGACCGCTGCCCATGGACGCAATTGCATATACGATGCCTTCCCTTAATCGACGGAATAGTATACGCACAAAAACGTGATATTTCCCCTTCCTATCCTTCTCCTCTGCCGTCAAATCCACTTTTCCTACCGGTCCTTTCCTCTGAAGAAAAGAATGGAAAGAAAAATGGACTAAAATTGCGCCTCATTATTTAGAAGATAATGACTTTAGTGATGAATACATTCAGGAAAACCTGATTTGCTTAGCCCGCATCGTGAGAATAGAGTAAGGAGCAATTTAATGCACAATGCATTTCAAAATTCAAATAAGCTAATTCCATTTCTCGTTCAACGAGCAGAATACAATTATCTGTTAAACAGCCGCTGGAAGTGACCTGAAAAAGAACGGCGCGTAATATACAAAGGCGTCCGCGGCAGAAATTGTATTGTGAAGGCAGCTCTATGCTCGCCAGAAGTGTTCGTGTTTACCGGCTACACACACTTCCCTGTCATGTCACCTAATTAATAGCGCTTCTTGCACATTGTTATTCCACGTCTATGGTGAAATGTAGAGCAAATATTTGTGCCGTTTGTTTGGATTATTCCAAGCGTGTGGTAAACGATGTTTTTGTTCTGTCAGACATAAATCGTGAGAACGATGAAGCTAACGATGTCGAGTGGAATATTGAATAAGTGTCAAACTAAGTTTGAAAAAAATACAGACTTTATTGCTATGAAAATATACACATTATAATTATTGGAATTTTTCAACATCGTACATAAATCTAGACTACAAAATTTTTTTCTTCGTAAGAACAACTTTGCACTTTAAAGGGGTCCAGTTTTCTATGTATTCTATTCACAGTTTACATGTAAAATAATCTAATACAAAAAGGTGCGGGGTCAAAGCAACCGCGCTTTGATTTCTAGCTGGGTGACGTCGCTATCTGTACAGGCGAGGTTTTGATTAATCACACTACGCTTCTGTTGGCTTTCTCTTTATTAATAGTTTTAATGTAATTAATTTGAAAATGTATTATTGTTCCACTTGGTAAAGGAACGAGAAATGTGTTCTAAATGTTCTGTAATTTTTATACATGTATAAAAACTACATATATGTTTATACAATGAAAAATATTTTTTTTTTCATAAATTCGTTTCGCTTCTGGGATTCCAAAAAGTCAGTTGATTTTAATAATTACCGTATTTTTTTATTTTAACATAAATAAAGCATATTTAAAAATGTAAGATATTTCTTTTTATGGGAGGTAACAACTTGTTTTTCATCAAAAGGTGTTTTATTCGTTTTAGCTTTTAAAAGTTTACCAACCTCCTTTCAATTTGCGTAATCCAAACGAAGTAATCAAAATTTAGACGAAAAAGGAACGAAATGGAGGATTAGTGATTATTCAAAGAGACAGCAAAATTCTATACCTTTCAGGGTTTCTTCAATTTTAGATGTTAATGCGACGCAAAAAAAGATTTAATTTAATTTCTCTTTCCATTCTTAGTTTAAATCTTTATGTAGTGAAATAAATTACTCTGATTTCACGATATTACAGCTAAGGCTGCTATTGACGAGAGTCGCTAAAGTCTAGATAAAGTTATAATAGGTAAAATTAAATATATTTATATGGCTGCATTTACTAGTTACGAATTAAAAATTAAATTTGACAGGAGAGATCGAGAAAATCTCATAGGCAGTAAACAAGTCGCAACGATTTGTTAAACTGTTATCAACAGTCATGTGCTTGTTCACAATACAAGAAAACAAATAAATAAGAGATCACCGACATCCATCAATAGCAGCTCACCGACACATAAACACGTCGTAAAAGCAAGTTTTGTACAATGCCGACATAAAATCTTTTATTGTTGCTCCGCATCGATTGCTAAAGGAACAATCTATTGAAAGCGTACCAAACAACATGACCATACTGTACACTGCGTTAGGTACAGTCAGCTCAACAAGTATATTCTCAGTACAATACGTTCTACCAAAACGTAACAGCACTTCAAATAAATTTCAATATCTTCAAAGTAATCCCCGCTTTGACACTTTACATCTCGAATGTACATCCAAAGAGGAAATATGTCACGTATAGTGTATATAAGTACAGTCTTGCACGAAAGCGACGAGCCAATTCTTATCCGCGAATCAGGGTGCAAACTCACGTGGAATATGAAATAAATTCTACGATCGAATAATTCTGTCGAGTTGCTTGAAAACGTTACAAAATAGTGAAATCTGGAGCTTTGGACTTTATTCGAAACTAGCTGTTGCTCGCGACTTCATCCGCGTGATATTAAAAAATAATAAAAATTACATGTTACAGATAAATTACTTTTCTACTGATAAAAGAATTTTTAAAGTCGGACTTGTAGTTTTTATGTGAATTAAATACATACAAAAATACAAATTCTCCCTGTTTATAATATTAGTATAGATAAAAAGTAATTTCTTTCTAAATATTTACATTCTAAAGAGTGGTAGTAGAAACGTGGTATATAAAGGTTAACGTGGTATATGAAGGAACTGTTAGACGGTTGTATAAAAAGACAACCTGTAATTATTTTAATTATGTAGAAAATAACAAAGTACGTAACACTTGAACACTTCATAAAATATTAAGTAACTGTAGGTCGGAGTTTCGAGCAACTCCTACGCTAGGGTTGTACACATACGTATACGCCGCCGCCTAGGTAAGGGCTGTACACATAAACTGTACTCACGAATAAGTAAGCAATGTTGTCCTTGGCTGTTTACCAAGTACGAAAAGAGTGGGTTGAATTGGCGCCAACTCTAATAGCATTATCAAGGCTCATGGAGACAACTTACGATGGTAACAATACGACTATGAGACGTTATTCAATTTATTAAAACATGTTACGACAAACAACATATATTTATCTTACAAAACAATTAATGTTGATAATATTCACATCTGTATGTTTTTTATTTTAAATAGTCTGTGAATAAAGATATTCATAATTTAATTTAGAAATGAACCAAACAAATTGAACGGGCTCGTCGTGATCAAATGTGTGTTTGTTCAAAAGTTTTTATTACGAATTTAATAATTCTATTAAAGTCTAAGCAGAATTATTTAATTTCTATCGAAGGTAATATCTTATGTGCTGACCGTATAAGTAAACTATTCGCAATTCCATTGCAAAGTATACGAGTATTCGTCTGAAACCTTTCCAACTTATCTTTAGGTCTAAGCTTAGATCGCGTTACAACAACTTATAGGACTTCTTACAAAGTCTTGAATATCACGATCGTGTATTTAATGAATGCTGGCGCATCTTAACATTTTATTATTACTTTAACGTGATATTCAAGTTATTACTATGTAAAATTTATTACCATCATAAATCGCAGCTCAGTTTTCCACTTTCATTTTGTTTTGCTTCACGCCCAACGAAGAGCTTTGCTTTATTCGTGCAGTGTAGCAAAAATATCATTTTCTTAGTTAAATCTTTTCTCTAATTTAAAGTGGATTTAGAGTTAAATAAATTATATGCGTAATCAAAAAAAAAAAAACTAATTAATAAGTAACAAATCTTACTAATTTTATAAATGCGAACGTTAAGATGGATGGCTGAACTTATTTTGATAAAATTTGGCATACATGTAGAGAACTGGAAGAACACATAAGCTACTTGCTTTCATTTTGTTTTATTTAAAAGTCGCGGGCGTAGGCTAGTAAATTTAGAACTAACGCAACATGAATTCTCCTTTTTGTTTCTCAATATCTTGTCATAGAAAAAGAAACTAGTTACAAGGATTCATTTCCTAGAGTAATAATACAATAACTTGTCGTGTCCACGGCTTATTACAATAAACTGCGATGTTTTTATGCGTTACACAATTACCTGTATAAAATTCTCGTACTGAAACGGCGTCAACGAAATTGTGTCCATTATTTATGAGTGTTATGTTTTTACGGAACATTGAGTTTTGCTTTTGTTTCTAGGAGATGACATCCATTACTGTAATGTGAGTCATTTAGTCTCTACATGTAATAGGACATTTACGGTTATCATATAATGATATTTAAGTCTTTGACAGACATAGTTGTTTAGCATTGTTCTTTGCCATGTTACTCTGTGCAAAGATTAGTAAAATTATTTAAAAAAATAGAGGTGAAAATATATTTACATGTTGTAGTGGACTTTAAGTAGTATACGCACTTTTATACACAACCACTCAGCCTTGTTTAATTATTTACAACGCTACAAACAGTTTAACACGGTAAGTGTTTGGCATTGAAGCTCAAGGCTGCAAGAAACACTTTTGCTGCATTCTCAAAAACCTTGACCAAGTGTAAATGCGTTGATAATTAGGTGAAAACACGACCTAATTGTAAACAATGAAAATAAACTTGAAGAACAGTATAGGATAGTCATACGAAAAGAATAAGTTTTTTTCCCCATAGAAAACAGAAAATATTTGAAAGACTTGAGACTTCACAACAAAGAAAATAACAAAACGATTTTAAGATAGATCATAGATGAGGTAATAACCAATAGTTGTGTATGTGTATGTGTACTATGGCAGTCCAAAACAACACGATTCATTTTGATTTAGTATCGTCTAGTTAACACCGAAATCGCTCCCCAAGTAGCGACTTATAACAAAACTAACCTAAATTCAGGGCTATTAATATAAATTACATAGATTTACAAAGCCTTTTGGGAGCTAAATTGCTATTATTTCCCTTTGCACAATGTGAAAAGGCTTTGTTATAACGATTACTTTGGACCTCGGTGTATTTCGTCATCAATTTTAATTATATATTAACAGCTTCCAT